CTTTTGAATTCTCCTATCCACTATCCCTTAACCCCGTGACGTTTCACTCAGAGGTCAAGGAATAGGAGATAGGGTTAGAATTTAGGAGCTGATTTTTGGATTATCGGAACGCAACCCCTGTGTTTTCCTCCCTGTCGTTAGTTTCCCTGGTGTGTCTGATTGTGTTCACCTGTTGCCCTTGTGTTTCTCCTCCCCTGCCCGGCTGTTTCTCGTCTCGTGATTACCCCTCCCTGTATTTAGTCTCTTCCTGTGTTCGGTGTCGGTTCATTGTTTGTTTTTTCCTGTCTCCCTCGATGTTGGTCACGACCGTGTTTTGGGTATTGTATTTTCCTCGTGTTACCTCTGTGCTATCCATGCCATGCTATTTTGCTGATTGGCTTTGAAATAAAGCTCGCTTTTGTTTGTAGACCTTGGCCTTTTTTTTGGTAATCTGCTTTTGGGTCCTACCTTTCCCAAACCGTAACAGAATGAACCGACCAGCTTTGGACTCGGCAGATTCAGCTTTTTTGATGCTACAGGCGGAACGTCTTGGGTACTCTCTGGAGTACATTTTGTATACGTGGTATGACGCCTCATCTATACGGGGTAGAGTGGCTGCTTTGAAGGAGGCAAGCCAGGAGGTTGCTCACAAGCCCTGGCTCAGGAGTTTGTTGCCTGAGTGGCTACAACTTTTTACCAGTAGTCCTGGAAACTTTTCTCAAGCCTCTAACCCTTTCCTGTGATCCGACTACTATCCTGGTAGAGGTCCACGGTGTCTCCAAAGGGCCTCTAGGAGACGCAGGGCCAGGATTCCAGCCCGTGCCCCAGCAGCCATGGTTCCGGCCCCAGTTCTGGCCCCAGCAACCATGGTTCCGGCCCCAGTTCCAGCCCCAGCAGCCATGGTTCTGGCCCCAGTTCTGGCCCCAGCAGCCATGGTTCCAGCCTTAGTCCTGGTCCCAGCAGCCATGGTTCTGGCCCCAGCAGCCATGTTTCTGGCTCCAGTTTCGGCTCCAGTACTGGCTCCCCGGCCGACGCCAGCTCCCCGTGTCCTATCGGCGTACCGGCCGACTCCAGCACCTCGTCTCCTGTTGGCACTCCGGCCGACGCCAGCCCCCCGTGTCCTGTCGGCATTCCGGCCGACTCCAGCCCCCTGTGTTCTGTCGGCGAACCGACCGCCTCAAGTCTCCTCTCGAGTCCCCTCTCGAGTCACCTCTCCAGTCTCTTCTCGAGTCCCCTCTCGAGTCACCTCTCAAGTTCCCTCTCGAGTCTCCTTTCAAGTTCCTTCTCTAGTCCCCTCTCGAGTCCCCTCTCAAGTCACCTCTCGAGTTCCCTCTCAAGTCTCCTCTCGCGTCACCTCTCAAGTTCCCCCTCGAGTCCCCTCTCAAGTTCCCTCTCCAGTCCCTTCTCTAGTCCCTACTCAAGTCCCAACCCTATGTCCTGTGCCATTGGAGGCCCCGCTGACTACTCTTCTGCCGGGGGTCCTGCCAACCCTATGTCCTGTGCCGTTGGAGGCCCCGCCGACTACTCTTCTGCCGGGGGTCCTGCCAACTCTATGTCCTGTCCCGTTGGGGGTCCCGCCGACTACTCTTCTGCCGGGGGTCCTGCCAACCCTGTGTCCTGTCCCGTTGGGGGTCCCGCCGACTGCTCTTCTGCCGGGGGTCCTGCCAACCCTGTGTCCTGTGCCGTTGGAGGTTCCGCTGGGGGTCCTGCCAGCTCCGTGTCCTGTCCCGTTGGGGTTCCCGCCAACTGCTCTTCTGCCGGGGGTCCTGCCAACACCATATCCTGTCTTGTTGGGGGTCCCGCCGACACCTGCTCCGCCGGGTTTCCTGCTAACACTGTGTCCCGTCTTGTTTCGGGTCCCATCGACACCAGCCCTTGCTCCGTCGTGGGTCCCACTGACACCAGCCCAGGTTCCGTCCAGGGTCTCATCTACGTCTGACCCGCCAGGGGTTCCACCAGCTCCTGCCCGTCCTTGTGCCCGGCCCCTTGAGTTCCCCAGCCGCGGTCTTCGCCCTCGATCCCGGCCCCCTGAGTGCCGCGGTCTTCGCCCTCGAGCCCGGCCCCCTGACTTTCCCGGCCGCAGTCCCCCTCGGGCCCGGCCCCCTGACTCTTCCAGCCGCTGCCTTCGCCCTCATGCTCGGCCCCCCTGATTTAGCCCGCTGTGGCCTTCGCCCCTTAATGAACTCTGCCTTGCCCCCGGGCCGTCCGCCTGAGACCTCCTCCTCAAACTCTGCCTTGCCCCCAGGCCGTCCGCCCGAGACCCGCTCCATGGACTCTGCCTTGCCCCCGGGCAGTCCACCCGAGGCTGTTTCTCGTCTCGTGATTACCCCTCCCTGTATTTAGTCTTGTCTCTTCCTGTGTTCGGTGTCGGTTCATTGTTTGTTTTTTCCTGTCTCCCTCCATGTTGGTCACGACCGTGTTTTGGGTATTGTATTTTCCTTGTGTTACAGCTGTGCTATCCATGCCATGCGATTTTGCTGATCGGCTTTGAAATAAAGCTCGCTTTTGTTTGTAGACCTTGGCCTTTTTTTTGGTAATCTGCTTTTGGGTCCTACCTTTCCCAAACCGTAACAAAAATGACTTAATTACTTCAAGCCTAACGCGGTATATATTTACATACGTTTTTGTATTTAAGAAAAGTTCTGCTTTTAGGGTGTTTTTTACTTTGAATAGAGCGCAACATGATAAGTAAATACTATACCCCTTGGAACTTTGTACCCTGCCCTTTAACCCTCACTGTATCACTTTGACAAGAGCCTCGCTCATTCTGTCTCTCGCTGCTGGGGAGGGAAATTGTGCACAAACAAATTGTGATCATGACTACAAATCAAGAAAGCAAGATGAATAATTAAGAGTAAAACAAATATTTAAAGCAAAAGAGAAGGGGATATATTAATGAAGACTTACAAAACACCATGCTGTGGGTACGTGGTTTGATGGACTACGTATAATATAACATAAGGTTTAGTATTAGCCTAACTAGCTTACAGTTTATAATGAACAAAATGAAGCAAGAAAATCTCATCTTTAGTGACTGAAGTTTTAGCAGGTTTGGTGCTTTCTAGTACTACAACAGTCAAAGCAGTACCTTTCCTGTGCCTGATCTGTTCTGAGTTTTCTGAGGATTTACAGAATTATTCTAGGTCACATTGAAAAATCAATCCTCAGGTCAAAAGTCAGTCCAGTGTTCCCTCCACCACAGAACCTGGAAATCCTTTCCTCTGCGACAGCACAATGTCAATACAGTATGCAAACAGACGGCATCACTGTTGGTCTCAGAGCCAGTGGCGGTTCTAGACCAATTTGACCAGGGGGGCCAGTTATTTCATGAGAGGGGCACAATAAAAGCGGGTTGAAAGACAAAGACAGTATAAAGTCATAGTGGAAAATAAACATAAAATACAGTAATTGGTATTTGTTTTTGTAAAGGTATTTGTTTTAGTACATTTAAGTTACAGTCCTTTGTTTCAGTCGTTTTATTCATTTAGAGTATTTGTTTTAGTAACTTTAAGTAACCATTTAATTAAAAAACATAAACAGTATTTGCTTTTATAAGGTAATGAACAGTTTCATCTCCACTGTACATCCGGGTCTCTGATTTGATTTTCCAATAAATCGTAATATTGTAACTTTTTTTTGGAGGGGGACCACAGAGGGTCCCTGGTCAGTGTTCCCCCCTAGAACCGCCCCTGCTTAGAGCTGTTTATTTTTGACAGTTCTCTTCATGGCATTTGACCGTCATGCAGACAGTTGCTGATTGAATAAGGAGACGGGCATATTACTGGTCAAAATGAGTCTTAAAACTTTAGCCAATTTGGGAGTGCCTTCAAATCCTTTCCTCTTATATCCAGCAGGGGGCGACTCTCCTGGTTTAAAAAATAAGTCTGGTTGTATAGACATCTATGAAAAATGTATCCTACTTCTCATTTGATTTATTTTATCCTTTCCTGACAAGTGTATTGTCTTAAAAGCTAGTTATTTCTATTATTCTTCGATAAAGCTAAATGTTCTTTTGAAGATGATGGTCCTATTGCTAGCAGAATGCTATCACAGCGTGGTTATGCTAGTCTTGTTATCGGTTTACAACTTTAACCCATTGACTGTGTGCTCACTTCATAAAAATGAACTGATACATTTTGATCGCCTAAAATGTATTTATATTTTCACCTTTCAGGACTCTGCTCCACCGTTCCCAGTTACTTCTGGTTACAAAAAACAACAATGGAGAAAGAAAAAAACAAGAAGGCTCGGCCAAAATGCCAGACCTTGAAGCTTCAAAGCCGTAGTCCAGAAACCAATGGGTGGTGTCGTATTGTATACAGTCTATCTGATATGTTTATTTTTAATTGGTAATGTATTTAAATTGTGTAACATGTGTGAGGAATGATTTCAATGCTAATGTGAAAATGGTTTACATGCTTAGGAAGTAGCTTCAATGTACTTTGTTTAAAATAGAATTTAAAATGATGACAAAGTGTTGATCTGTGATCTACTAGATTGTCTTAATCAAGGGTCCTGAGATCCATTGCTTTTGTCTACAACCACATATAAGGATTTGTGGTTTCTGGGTATTTCCCATGGATGTATAATTTCCCTCCCTGGAGGAAATGTTTTCGCTGAGGAAACGCCATTTTTAATCTTGATTATTCCTCCCAATATAAAAGGGCCGTAACATGTACAGTATAGATCCAATGCTGCCTGACATTGTGAATGCAGTAATAGGCACATGGACACACTACATCCACAGTGTGCCCAAATGGCTTTATATAAATCAATCATTTTGATTTTTAATTCACAGAACAGCCATACTTTTATAAATGTCATCAATCCATTCAACTGTTTTAGTCTGGACTTGGAAGACTGAACAACAAGTCACATCTCTGGCCCCACTGGATTATTTATTCTAATTTGTCAACAGTTCAACACTAACAAACCATTTTCTGTTGTCACAAAACACCCACACATTTCAGACACATCTGCCAGAGGGATATGCTACAAGAATAATTAACAAAGAATTAAGAAACAGTGTCACCATTTCATATTTTATACAAAGGATGTTGATATTTACAGTGTCAAATGTACAAAGTCAAATGTTGTTTATGTTAAAAATGTACTCTGCTAATATTTTATTGCTTTTTTAAAAGTCAAAATATCAATATCATTAATGTTAAAAAGCAAGTTTGCATCCAGCAATAGTCAGTATATTTAAATGTTTTTAAGTATGACCCATGGTCCTTGCAGTTTCATATTCTAAGAGTAGTCTTCTCTTCTTCAAGCAAGGTTTGTAATCAGGGTCCATGGAGTCGTCAGCACTACTTGAAGAATAACTGGAATAAAGAATGTTGGGATCAAAGGAACCTTCTTCCTCCTCCTCCCTCCCGTTGTCATCGTGTCTGCCTCGTACCCCCGGCTCGGACGCTCTGCTGGAGGACCTCCACCCTGTCATTCTGTAGCACTCCTGAGCGCTCAGCCTGCTCAGAGGCACGCAGGGCTGCAGCAGCGTGGACTGCAGCAGCACGGCCTGGCTGTGCAGAGACAACCTCAGCCCGTCTCTCCGGACCCTGCTGCTCTCCACCCGGACCACCGGGGCCTCAGGAGGGGGGGGGAGAGGAGACGACGACGGTGGAGTATGATGGTTGAACATGAATGGCGTTTTGTGCAGGAGGTTTGAAGGAGTTCTGAGGGACAACTGGTTGAGATGATGAAGTCGATGAAGGGGACGCAGCGCTAGAAGCCTCTTCTGTAGGAGGCCGAGGAACGCTGAGTTCTGGTACGGTCGGACAAGTGTTTTGATTCAATCTGTCCAGAACCGGTGAAGCTCTGCTGTTGATACAAGGCCATCTGTACTTTCTTGAAAGTTTTGAAAAAGATTGTTTTAGTGGAGGTTGACAGCTCGTGGAGGTAGATGCATGTTGAGACCCAGGAGCTGTGTGTGTCATGTTCTGGGGAGCATGTTGGACGAGCAGAGAGTCTTGCATTGCTCCTCCAGCTGAAGCATTGTTCCCTGAGGTACGGCAGCGTGGAGAGGTTGGTACCTGAAGACTAGAGCAACAAGCATCCTGTTGGTTTGGAGACAAGGTGGAGGGATGGAAAGGTGCTTGATGGGGTTTAGAGAAATGGCAGAACCTTCTGAAGGAAGCGATGTCCGGCAGTCGGACGGACGGCGTCAAGTGGGGGGGCAGTTGAGTGTCTCTGGGCGACGGCAGCAGAACTGGATCCGCTGATGATCCCGGTGGTGCAGAACTCTGCTCAGGGTTTGCTGGCTGAGAAGCTGTCTGAAGATGGGTGAAGGTCTCTGAAGGTGGTAGTTCTTGGTCAAAGGGGGAGGGGATGAGACCAGAGGGGGTGAAGTCCTGAGATGTAGTGTTGGATGAGGGCGACTGGAACAGTAAAGGAGACAAAGAGACGTTGTCCTGGAGCTCCTCTGAGCACTCCTCAGGACACTGCTGCAGGATGCTCTCCACCCAGCGCTGGTGCTTGGAGCAGAACTGAGGGGAGGGGGGGGGCTTCCTGAACACCTCCGCTGCTGCTCCAACTCATTTCCCTGTCACTGATGTCTTCACCCACCCTCATGATGAACTCAACACTCTCCTCTGTTTGCCGTCTGCTAACATCTGTATCATCTTCATTCTTCAACGACACAGCACCGTCTTCTTCAGCCCCCCCTCGCTGAAGAACCACTGGAGGGTTCTGAAGGGACATTTTTGCCTCCATGGACTCGTGGAGATCCTTTGAAGCACTGACATGCAGAACAGACCCTGAGAGTTTGGAGCTTTCCATCCCATTCTTTCCATGTGCTGAGGACTGAGGAGTCGTGGCCCGACGACACAAAGCAACATCTAAAGGAACAGAGGAAGTGCATAGTGAGTAACACATATGTACATTGAACAAAAATATAAATGCAACACTTTTGTTTTGCTCCCATTTTTCATGAGATGAACTCAAAGATCTAAAACATTTTCTATATACACAAAATAACCATTTATCTCAAATATTGTTCACAAATCTGAAAAAATCTGTGATAGTGAGCACTTCTCCTTTGCCGAGATAATCCATCCCACCTCACAGGTGTGGCATATCAAGATGCTGATTAGACAGCATGATTATTGCACAGGTGTGCCTTAGGCTGGCCACAATAAAAGGCCACTCTAAAATGTGCATTTTTGCTTTATTGGGGGGGTCTGGGGGGGTCCGAAAACCAGTCAGTATCTGGTGTGACCACCATTTGCCTCACGCAGTGCAACACATTTCCTTCGCATAGAGTTGGTCAGGTTGTTGATTGTGGTCTGTGGAATGTTGGTCCACTCCTCTTCAATGGCTGTGCCAACTTGCTGGATATTGGCAGGAACTGGAACACGCTGTCGTATACACCGATCCAGAGCATCCCAAACATGCTCAATGGGTGACATGTCCGGTGAGTATGCTGGCCATGCAAGAACTGGGATGTTTTCAGCCTCCAGGAATTGTGTAGAGATCCTTGCAACATGGGGCCGTGCATTATCATGCTGCAACATGAGGTGATGGTCGTGGATGAATGGCACAACAATGGGCCTCAGGATCTCGTCACGGTATCTCTGTGCATTCACAATGCCATCAATAAAATGCACCTGTTGTTCGTCGTCCATAACATACGCCTGCCCATACCATAACCCCACCACCACCATGGGCCACTCGATTCCAACATTGACATCAGAAAACCGCTCACCCACACGACGCCACACACGCTGTCTGCCATCTGCCCTGAACAGTGAAAACCGGGATTCATCCGTGAAGAGAACACCTCTCCAACGTGCCAGACGCCATCGAATGTGAGCATTTGCCCACTCAAGTCGGTTACAACGACGAACCGGAGTCAGGTCGAGACCCCGATGAGGACGACGAGCATGCAGATGAGCTTCCCTGAGACGGTTTTCTGACAGTTTGTGCAGAAATTCTTTGGTCATGCAAACCGATTGTTGCAGCAGCTGTCCGAGTGGCTGGTCTCAGACGATCTTGGAGGTGAACATGCTGGATGTGGAGGTCCTGGGCTGGTGTGGTTACACGTGGTCTGCGGTTGTGAGGCCGGTTGGATGTACTGCCAAATTCTCTGAGACGCCTTTGGAGACGGCTTATGGTAGAGAAATGAACATTCAATTCACGGGGAAACAGCTCTGGTGGACATTCCTGCTGTCAGCATGCCAATTGCACGCTCCCTCAAAACTTGCGACATCTGTGGCATTGTGCTGTGTGATAAAACTGAACATTTTAGAGTGGCCTTTTATTGTGGCCAGCCTAAGGCACACCTGTGCAATAATCATGCTGTCTAATCAGCATCTTGATATGCCACACCTGTGAGGTGGGATGGATTATCTCGGCAAAGGAGAAGTGCTCACTATCACAGATTTTTTCAGATTTGTGAACAATATTTGAGAGAAATGGTTATTTTGTGTATATAGAAAATGTTTTAGATCTTTGAGTTCATCTCATGAAAAATGGGAGCAAAAACAAAAGTGTTGCATTTATATTTTTGTTCAGTGTAATTATCATCAGAAGATTAGTTGCTAAATATAAAAGCAATCTTTCTTTGCTAATGGAATGGGAGAGGGATCCCTCCTCTGTTGCTCTCCCTGAGGTTTCTCCCATGTTTCCCTTTAAACTGTGGGTTTTCTCCGGAAGTGTTTCATTGTACGATGTGAGGGTCTAAGGACAGAGGGTCTAAGGACAGAGGGTGTCGTATTGTCATACTGATATTCTGTACAAACTGTGAAGTCCACTGAGACAAATGTAACATTTGTGATATTGGGCTATATAAATAAACATTGATTGATTGATTGATTGATTGATGCTTCAAAGACAGCATTTTTTTTTTTAAATACAAGGGCAAACAAAGTACAAGTCAGAGTAGATGGATCCAGCCCTATCTTGAATAAGAAGAAATATGTGATTGTGCACATACAAAGACAATCGTCTGATACATTATTTCAAATTATTTCACTTGAGCTGCCATTTGCTGACGCTTTATGTCACGCGTGTTACTGTATATATCACGACAAATCATGTCATGAAAGAACTCCGATGATTATTTAATACTGAGTTTGATGAAACTGCAGTGCTGTTGAAGGTGAAAAACAAACAACTGAAACAGTAAATAAATAAAGGTAAGACTAATTCAAAGCAAAGAGATATGCTCCAGCTCTCCATACATACATGAGTTGATCAGGGGAATACACATGTGCACTGTTTGTGGAGTTAATTACCACAGTGCAGCAGTTTCTTCAGAGTTGCTGCGATGCTCTTGGAGTCAGAGGTTATCACTTCCAACAGCAGCTTCTCCTCCTCGGTCACAGGGCTTGCTTTCTTCAGGATCTGCCTCACACATTAGAATATGGAATCAATCACTGAGTGAAGTACTCCTGATATCAGAAGCCATTCAGGTGAGTCATCCGTGCAGTCCTTAAAGTTCTTCTAGCTAGATTGTGATAGTTTGTGACGACTAGAGGCAACACTGCGGAGCAAATTCACAAAGAATCCTTTCCATCTGTGTCGTGTCAAGGTCTGATTCACAAAACATTTTGCTCTAATGACATTAGAGCAAAAACTGTCGAGTTTTTTTTGCAGAAAGAAAAAGGAAATAATTTTAGTATAAAAACCTTTTTTTAATTCTCATGTCATTTCAGAAAAAGGACATGGTGTTGTTGAGCCTTATTATTCATTATACCACTGTCCTTTCACTGAGTCAATGCTTCCCAAATCAAACCATTCCACCCGGCTACAATCACTGCTGCCGTGATCACTGGGACATCATGGCCACCTTATAAATGTCTCCAGGTACCACCGCCTCTCTAAAGACACTCACTATGTCACTGGTATTGCATCAGGTCATGAGCACGTCTTCATGAGTTACACTGTTTTTAGCACATTTGCATGAAATGGGCTGATTATACAGGAAACATCGGTACGTTACCCATACGTGCAAATAGCACATTTATATTCAAAGCGTCCTCTTTGAATTTCTGCACAGCTTTCCACTTTTCGTATCAATACTGCACATGTTTTATTATATATTAAACTAATAAGTTTTTTGCATATTATACTGTGCGTAGTTTTTTGGTATAGCTATATTTAATGTCAATATTTCAATGTTATAATAGTGTTTTTTGTTATAGTTAAAAAAAAATGTTTAGTCCTTTTCTTACAATGTATCTTCTTGAACTGTGTTTACGTCTGTACCACATACACCAATTCCTCGTCTGTGTAAACCTACTTCCCGTTAAACCGGATTCTGATTCTGGTATAGTTATTGCAGGAATGATTGAACTACTTTTTAGACAAGATATTATCCAGGTTTCACGTTTGATAAAACTGAGTGTAAAATGACATCACAACATGTTGTGCATCTCATCTACCAATTCATGTTGAAGAGAACTCTGAACACGGGACCAAACAGCGAGCACACATTGAAGCAGTAGCTGCCATAGAACACACACCTTATCAATGTGTGTGTCTCCTGGTAACACGGTCTCCAGCTGCTGGAGGTAGTGCAGCAGTCTGTCCTCTACCTTCTGAGCGTAGTGTTCTCCATACTGCTCCTCCATGTGATTCTGAAACAGTGAAACACCCTCAGTCAGACTTTCTACAGGTGGCACGCACTTCAATACTTTGGCTTTCATTTCAAAATCTAGACCTAAAGTTCAAGTATCATTATTAAATGATAAATGGCGCCATCTAAACCCTCTCTGAAGAACTTTCTAGCATGTTCCCTCATAAAGTGTACAGCTGTATTTGATCTGGTTGACCACAAGGAGGAAAAGTGCTGCATTCACCATTCCTCATGACATCACTTTAGGCTCTTCTGAGTACTTATACAGCTCCATGTGTGTACGGTATGCATAGCGTTTGTATACAGTTGCAATCAAAATTATTCAACCCCCATTGCACATTAGGTTTATTGGCAAAATAAACAATTTCCCAGCTGTTTGCAATACACAAGAACTATTTAAGTAGCTCCATTAACTAACATGACAGGGTGTTTTGTGTTCTGTATTGTCTCTTTGCGAATAGCTCTCCGGAGTTCATACCTAGATTCCCTGAACTCATCTGAAGCTCCACCTCTGGGCGCGATAGTGCGCGCTTTCAGCTTGGTACGCACCTCGCTGTTTATCCAGGGCTTTTGATTTGGGAATGTTCGTACAGAAACCTTCGGTTCCACGTCATTGATGCATTTCCCAATGTAGCAAATGACCTTGTCCGTGTGTGTTTTGATGTTTTCGTCCTCAAACACACTCCACTCCGTAGATTCGAAGCAGTGCTGCAGAGCTGAGTCTGACTCCTCACTCCAGCGCTTATGCTCCGTGTCACCGGTCTGTCCCGTTTCAGTTTGTGCTTGTCAGCAGGCAGCAGCAGCAGTGAGATGTGGTCTGATTTGCCGAAGGGAGGGCGAGGGAGAGTTTTATATCCATGTCGGAAAGGGGAATAAACAAGGTCGAGTGTATTTCTGCCTTTGAGGTATGCTTGGGATCATTGTCCTGTGGGAAGGTCCAAGCTTCAGCTTCCTCACAGACGTTTTTTTCCTAAGACCTCCTGACACTTGAGTGAATCGTGCCCTGCACACGCTGCAGGTTTCCAGTGTGTGCAGCCCCAGAGCATCACTGAGCCACCGCCATGCTTCACTGGAGGCAGGTTGTTCCTTTCAGCATGTGCTTCATTCTTCTTCCTCCACACATACCGCTGATCCATAGGCCCCAAATGTTCCAGTTTTGTTTCATCGCTCCACAGAACAGAATTCCATATTTCTATGGTTTTGAGCATATTGGAGCAGAGTGCTTTTTGGGTCAGTCGTGGGGCACGTCTTGGAGTCCGGGCATGGAGCCCTTCAGGGTCTCGCTGCAGGTGTTTTGCAGTCACTCGAGGGTTTTGGACCACTTGTCTCCTCAGGAATCTGGTGGCAGTCGCTGGTAGCTTCCTCTTTCTGCCACGTCCAGGAAGTGTAGCCGCTGTTCCTTTAACTTTTAACTGGCAAACTATGCTTCCACCTGTATCTCTAGGAACATGCTGTGCTTTTGCTGTCTTTTTCTTTTCTTTTCCTTGTTTGTGCAACCAATGATCTCTTCTCTGAACTTTTTAGACAATTACTTTGCATGCAATCGAAGGTCACTCAACAAACTCCTAGCCAGTCCAGGTATTTCAGTGCTCTGTCTCAAGCCCACCTGAACTAATGAAGCCCTTGATTAGTTGCACCAGGTGTGCTTGAAACAGGGGGCAGAATCATCTTGAGACTGGAGTAGTCATTACAAAAACCTTGTAATATTAGTTTCATTGAACTACTTTCATTGAAACAGTTCTTGTGTGATATGTTTATTGCAAACAGCTGAGAAATGTATATTTAGCCAATAAACTTAATGTGCAATGGGGGTTGAATAATTTTGATTGCAACACTATAAATGTGGACCTGCAGCGCCCTCTGCTGGAGGGCAGTCCGGGGCTGAGAGAAACCGGCTGTGTTTTATTCTCACTGACTAATGCATGATAACTTGAGACAACAGTGACTCAGCATCCTCTCAACATCCAATACGACTGTTTCCATTTCAATGCAACTCATGATCCCAGAATGAAACATTTGAATGGGTCCTTGATTTGAAATGTGCTTACTTTGATCAGTATTAAACAGTATGTGTTTTGTGGATGTTGTTGTAGATAAAGCAATGAGGTCTTTTGTAGTAGTCTTTGAAAATGATTACATCTGGCTTGTTTTTGTTTGTGGTGTCTTGGAAGTCCATGCCGACAAAGCTGTATGCCTGCAGCATGACACAATTATAAAACCGAAATCCTTCATTTGTTTACAAAATGATATGATCAATACTCTGCTGAGTGTGTGTGTGTGTGTGTGTGTGTGTGTGTGTGTGTGTGTGTGTGTGTGTGTGTGTGTGTGTGTGTGTGTGTGTATCTGGTTAAGCCCATCAGTGCAGTTTATAGTATTAAACCATTCGGTTTTTTTACATCTTCTGTCATATTAAAAAGTAGCCTACAGCAAGTCCAACTTCAATGTTTCTTAGCATGACAAGAATAGACATGGCAGAAGGGTTATCAAAGAAAACTGCTAGTGGTTCTCAAACCTTTTCTGTCATTCCCCACTTTGAACAGGTGGGCCTTTTCAAGCCCCACCTGTTCCTCATCACTCCAATAAAATGGTAGGCCAAGCTTAAAATTGTCAAATGTATCGTTCTATAACAGGGGTCTCCAACCTTTTTTAGGATGAGAGCTACTTTCAAAAAATAAAACAAGTCGTGAGCTACTTTTACTGCAGTTTGGGTCTGTGGGACCCGTTTTCAGTGTTTACTAAAAGAAAATGTATTCAATTTAATTATTTTAACCTGCTTTATTTCGGGATGGACCTCACATCCTCTAGGGGGGTCCGGGGGCATGCACCCCCGGGAAGATTTTCTTTTTAATGTTGAAGTGAAATGCATCAATCTGGTGCACTTTGAGCACAAAATGAATTTATGGATACAGCTCTCAACACTCAGATGAAAGGGAGCTGTATACTTTTCAATAATCCAAACATCTTTAGAATATGATCACAACTAATAACAAATCATTGAAACTAGTTTATGCTTATCTTATGTTACCTAGTTATCATTCTTTCTTTTTATTTATGCATATTTTACTAATCACTCCCCTTTTAAACGGTTTTATTATTTTTACTGTAGTAAAAAATGTAGTAATAATTTAAATCATTCCAATGTGTCCTATAGTACACATTGGAATGATTTCTTACTACATTTTTTACGACTAGACTATATTAAATAGATAAAGGTGTGCTCTCTCTCTCGCTCTCGCTCTCTCTGTCTCGCTAATAAAAATAATAATAATCTCCCGTTCATCGCGTCCATTCGCGACCCACCTATCACATATCGCCACACTTTGAGAAACGCTGCAGTAGGGCAACATTTTGGATAGAAAGCCGATTAGAGAGGTGTGCCAAAAACAGGGCAAATAAAACAATTCCACGGCTCTCAGGATACACATTAAACCTGAGCAGTTTTACAGCAGCTTAACCCTAATCATGCATCACCAACACACTCGCATCCTCTCATGCACCGGCTGTTACTGTGTCAGACACTGTGTGGAGGGAAACATACCGTAATGTAATCTTCACGTTTGTCCTTGTCCATAGCAAGAGTCTGAGCCAGAGCCTTGAACTCCACATGGTTCTTCCTCATGAGGAACATCTCATGTTGGCTCTGTGCAAGATACAGGACACAACACATGGTAAACAAATGTTTTTCATATAAATGTTAGTTAGGCACAGAGCAGCAAGACTTAACTGGACAATGATATAAAATACATGCTTTTATGATTATTTTAATTAATTAAATGAAACAATTTATTAATGAGACATAATAAATAATAGCTGATTAATAACAATATCCAGACAGTTATTACTAAATGTTGCCCTCCAATATTTAGGTGAAATAACACTCTCTCACCTCATAAATCTAAAATGGCTAATGCTCGTGTTGCTCTACTCCAGGCATGGGCAAACTAAGGCCCGTGGGCCATATACGGCTCGTTGGGCTTTTGAATCCGGCCCGCCGAATATTGGTACAAAATTGTCCAAATTATAGTAAAGACCGCATTCATTTTGCCTTTTTCCTGCAATGCCCGGCATTTCAGTTGATCCCACTAGATGGCGCACTAGTCTCTAGACACAATTTACCTTTGCTGGAGTCTGGTCTATTCTCTCAGCGGGCCCCACTCGGCAACCTGGCAAGGTCGGCGAATACAAGTTGTAACAAGCAGTAGCGCTGAGCAAAGTGACTAGAACGCGACCACACACTTGTAAAAAACACTAAAGTCAGGCAACACTAACCAGGCTTAGTCTGATTCTGTTTATTTTACCTTACTTTAATAACCATCCGTTCACTGTTATTGACCATTGTGAAGAGGCAGACGTTTTCCTTTTGTTTTGTATTATTGCAACTATCGGATGGAATAAATGGCTACATGTGGCCATCACAAGTAAAATCATAACGAAAACTACGCCGGTAAAGTATGCGTGTAGAAAACGGCTTATGCCACAATATGATAGCAACAAGTAGTCAATTTGATTAGCTTCGGTTGCTATGCTAACATCACCTGTAGAATGCCAGAGAAACTTTCATAACAGCGTTGTGATGCCAATCAGCTTTCAGACTAAAACACATTCACTTATGGGTAGGGTTGGGTACCGAGAACTGGTTCCGGTTCGGAACCGGTTCCAACATTTCGATTACAACGGCATCATTTAACAAATGTGAATTTCGGTTCCGCTTTTCGATGCCTGAGGAAATGTTTCTCGCCGCTCTCCGTAGCCTACTGTATGACTGCGGCGGGGCGGGACATGTAGCGTTGTACCTACACTTCCTACAGCGTAACCTGGGACCAGGGCCGGCCCGTCGCACTGGCGTTATAGATGTTCGCCTAGGCTAAGGCGCCAGATCTGTGGAGGCGCTGCGCTGACAGCTCTGGGAGGGGAAAAAAACGTTTTGACCGTTGGGGCTCATCCTAATTTTCGGCCTTGATGTAACAACATTCATAATTAAGTAAATGTAACACCCTTTTCATCCCGGTTACACTTTTCATTTGCCCTGTACGATGGGGGATGTTGGCTTATCTGGCGCCCGCAGCTCACAGCCAAAGTGCGAGTGAGCGAGGGAGCGAGCGAGGGAGAAAGAGAGGGTGCACCGGTACCAGCGCTGTTGTTATTAGCATCTGGTGCTAGCTGCTCTAACCATTAGAAGATGTTTCTACAATAATGTGGAGGGAGAGTCCTCTCCAGTTAGACTGAGAGGCTGATAACTACTGCTCAGTGAGGTAAAGGACTCTGAGTGTTTAGATAGTTCACTTTAGTCTAAGTTATCTCAGTGGGTCTCAAATGTTTTGATCACAATTTATATAAACACATATTTCCAAGGCACTCCTTTATAATTATTCGGATAAAACAGGTTTGAAATCATTCCAATGTATACTATAGGACAGTAAACCAGACATATCGTTTTAAACTGGAGAGATTAAAAAATATGCATAAATAAAATAGTAAAATAAGATATGAATGAACAACAAAAATAAAATATGTTACATGTATTTGTTATTGGCTATGGTAGGTTATTGGTTATGTTCACATACTTATTTAATTATTAAAATGTAAACCGATCTTTTTCATATGGGTGTTTAGTAGGGGTGTAACGGTTCACAAACATTTCGGTTCGGTACGTACCTCGGTTTTTAGGTCACGGTTCGGTTCGGTACGTTTTCGGTACAGCAGAAAAAATTATCACAAAACATAACATATTTTTTTCTAATTATTATTAAACTGTGAATATTCACTCAAATAAATACAAAATATAATAAAAAAAACATTAAGGTGCAGCATTTCGATGAACTGAAATAATCTGTATTTGAACTTTACTGTACTAGTACTCACAAAACATAAACTATTAGTTTTGGGTTTTTAATTATTATTAAACTATGAATATTCACTCAAATAAATACAAAATATAATAAAATAAACATTAAGGTGCAGCTTTTTAATTAACTGAAATAATCTGTATTTGAACTGTACTGTACTAGTACCTAAGCAGCCAGTTTGACATTATGACTTGCTTGTCATTGTATTTTCATGTTGTTTTTAAAGAAAGATGAACTTGTCCACATTGCTTGCCGAAAGGGCAGATCTGCTGGCACTAACAATGTCTCCTGCTGTGGAGAACACCCTCTCTAGGGACAGAGGTAGCAGATACAGCCAGGTAGCGCTTTGCTAACATGGCAACATAAGGATATTTGGTGTTTGTAATAGCTTTGGCTCGGTCTGAACTCTCTGCGAGTGGTGGAGGCTTAAATGCTAGCGGGAGTTGGGTTTGCACTTCAGTCTTTTTTCTTTTGGTACCGGTGATATTCACGTTCGGGTGATGCCTTTTCAAGAGTGTGCAAGTTTGATGTATTGCCAGCCGCGTAACCAATTTTAGTTGAACAATGCCGACAAACAGCTTTGGTTCGGTCCACCTGTCTTTGTCCGTCATCCTTGTACGTAACTGCGAAACCAAAATATTCCTAAACCGGAGACTTCAATGATGCTGGAGGATTTTCAGCTCAACTTGATCTGCGTTCGCCATTTAGACAGTTCCTCAAATTACTGACTACATTTGAACGCATCCCTCTGACATAGTATGCCTCTCGTCCAATGAAATGACTTGCTCGCTCTATGACGCGTTGAACACAATGGGAGCAACATTCTCTGAATGCTGCGACGCAGCACCTGAGATTACTTCCAAGAAGTTGTTCACGTTCTCAATTTTGTAAGTTTAACGTTATATTCGTTCGGTACACTTCGGTACACATGTGTACCGAACCGAAGGGCCCGTACCGAATAATTTCGGTACGGGTACGTGTACCGTTACACCCCTAGTGTTTAGAGTTGTACCCCCTAGATCTAGTCTCTAGTCATTCTGCTTAAAGTGCAACAGATTGAAGCATTTTACTTTAAAATGTTCAAACATTTCTTTCCGGTATCCCTGAGAAGGCAGATATGCTTGTTTTTCTCAACAAGAACTGTTTTTAAATGGGGGGGGGGTTTCCTTTAAAAGTTGGACTGTTGCACTGTTGTAGCTTCAGTGGTTCTCAGGTTACAGTTACATAGCAGTGAATATAAACAGACTGATTAATGTGAATATTACTGTAAACTAACCTGTGTAAAAGTTTCTCGAATAAATGTAATGTTTTTGGTGGAAGAAGCATGTATCATTTTTTTACCCTGCCCCTCAAAGAATCGGAATTGAGAACCGTTAAGAACCGGAATCGAAAAGTAGAATCGGAATCGGAATCAGAATCGTGGAAATTCAAACGATACCCAACCCTACTTATGGGGATGGGGGATATTTATCAGCTGCTTGTGACAGTCAGACAATGAAAACTTTACAGCGGCCGCTGCTGCGAGTTAACGGGAGAATAAACTCCGGTAGACGAGCAGCACTGCAGCGGGCAGTAATGCAGCTGAACCACATTAATAAATAATACACCACAACACTGGAGAAAGGTACAAGGTTGGAGAAGTAGTTATTTAATTTAATCTGGCATCTTATAATTAAAAACTACCCGACGCAGTCCTCTATTGATGTTGTTGTGAGCGGTGTTGCGGAGAAAATCAGCGACGTAAAACGCTGTGTGGGTCATAAGAAGACACGTAAACGGTTACGTCATGACGCAATAATTCACCTTTGAACCTGCATCTGTAACAATGAGTGGACCAAAGAAAATAAAAGTCAACATTGAGTGCCGAGTGTATAATGAGGAGTGGACACTACAGCTAAATATTTTTTTACCGATCTGCTACTGGCCCGGCCTGTCTGTCAAATTTAAAACTCATAGTGTCCCCGAGCCAAAAAGTTTGCCCACCCCTGCTCTACTCACTCATCAGTGAGTTGTGCAGCTTTAGATGAAATTGTTGCCTCTGAATGAATACCACACAAGACTGAAATCAACTGAGCAAAAGTAAAAAGTGTTCACAATATGTGTTTTAATCCCAGAGCCATGGGCGTAATTTCCACTGGGGACAGGGGGGACATGTCCCCCCCACTTTTCAAAATCCCATTTGTGTCCCCCCACTTTTTAAATGTGTTTATTATTAGTTTTTTGCGCAAGCGGTCATCGTCACGGAGGAGCGTGTGTGTGTGTGTGTGTGTGTGTGTGTGTGTGTGTGTGTGTGTGTGTGTGTGTGTGTGGCGCGAGCGCATCTTGTGAGAGAGAGATAGAAAGAGAGAGAGACAGAGAGTTACGGGGGTTGTTGTTAGCATTTGGTGCTAGCTCGGAGCTAACGGAGATTAGTAGCTGTTTCAACAATAAGGAGAGGGAGAGCTCTTTCCTGTCGGACTTTGAGAGAGAGAGGAGAGAGAGAGACTGGGAAAGTTACGGGGGTTGTTGTTAGCATCTGGTGCTAGCTCGGAGCTAACGGAGATTAGAAGCTGTTTCAACAATAAGGAGAGGGAGAGGTAACGTCAGCTCAGGGAGTCTAAGTTATCTCAGTGGGTCTCAAACGGTTTGGCCATCTATGTAATATTAGTTGTATATAAAATAAGTTAAGAAATCATTCCAATGTGTACTATAGGTCAGTACAAAATAAAAAACACAGTTTGAAAGGGGAGTGATTAGTCAAATATGCATAAATAAAAAGAAAGAATGCAGACTAGGTAAGATAAAGATAGGAGAGAGGAGTTGATCAAATATGTGTTATTAGTTGTGAGCATATTCTAATGTATTATTGAAATATATACAGTTCTGTTTCATATTAGTGTTGAGAGCTGTATCCATACATCTCTTAATGTTTCCCTCAAAGTGCACCAGATTGATGCTTTAACTTCAATGTAAAGAAAACAATCTTCCCGGGGTGCATGCCCACGGACCCCCCTAGAGGATGTGAGGTAATCACAAATAAAACAGGTTCACATGGATAGGATACTAGATAAGTGTGCACACTCATTATATACACTACACATTTTTCTTGGATTAGTTAACACTATAGTCCCTAATATATTTGTAGAAAGGCAGGAAATGGAATTAAATTGAGAAAATGTTTCATTGCGGAGGACCCCCTGTTTTGTGTCCCCCCCCACTTCTCAAACCAAGGTTACACCCTTGCCCAGAGCAGATGACACTTACACACTGATCCTGGTACTGAGGGAGTTTACTTGGAAAGAATTTGCAGATTTTACACACAGTCTCAACCATTCCTCGCCTCTCTGTGAGCATCCACATGATGAGCTGGAAGAAGACACATTACAAGAGATGGAGATTAGCATAAAACACTGGAGATGGATTTCCCCTGTATGTTGAATGATGCGATTCGTCTCCTACCAGGGTCTTGAGGCCGAACATGACCTTCATGTGTTTGATGGGAGCCACCAGGCTGGGCAGAAGTCTGTGTGTGTCTTCCAGAAAGTTCAGCGCTCTCTCAAAGTGCTGCGTGTCTCTGCTCTTCACGATGGAATAAACCTGAGCAGAGGAAACACGCAGCCTCCACGGGTCCTCCACGCTCAGAGGCTGAGAGCCCACGTCCGGCCAAGAGGAGGGGTCGACAACTGTGAGGAACATCAGATTCAGAAACAGGTTTGTGACCAGGTAGGTTGACATGTACGAGGAATTTGACTTGGTGTCGTGGTGCGTACATAAAAGTTAAACAAAAATTAAAAACACAGATAGGGAACTATTTTAAGAAAACTATAATAACATTAAAAATAATAAAACTATAGCAGTATTTACATTGAAATAGAATGGAATAAAATATGAACATGAAGAACATCCCGATTTTACTGCTTTGGCAACTCAGTCAGGTATTTGGTTTGCAGGGACTGGGCTAACCTGAGCTTCTAATGGAATGAGTACTCAAAACACAGTTTGAAGAGTCCTGCATGTCAGGATATTACTGAAATAAATATAATATGGTATTTTTATGTAGAAAGGCCTTTTACAGATTGTTTTATAATAAAATAAAAGCACTTGCTATATTAATGCACCAGTCATAATAATTAAATAGATCTTTCCTTGTTATAAACTCTTGGCTAGTTTAATTTATAGCAATTAATCATAGTTCATAAAGAGACCATATAATTGGTATGTACGGTATTGATGTGTGCAGTGAAGAAATGACACACACACACACACACACACACAGTTTAATCACTGATAAATCAACAAAACACATACTACATCTACTACAAACAATCATCACCCTATCTGAACGTTTTTGTTTGATTTGCATCTACATTTATGCTCCATATACGAACGTTTGATATCATGTTAATCGTACAAAACGATACGGAACAAGTGTTTCCGTACCGCCAACAGAGCCCCCCCTGAAATTCAAGGTGTTTTTTTTATTGTAATAATACATATGTATACCACCAAATTTCAACTAATCTATCTACTGTCACTTTTCACACTGAACATGTGCTCTTTTATTAAATAAACTAAACGCTTTCATTTTAAGTTGTGAGTTTAGTGTTTTTGACCCTAAGAAACACTGATGCATTAATCAATAACAATAATCCACAGCTCCTCCCCCCCCCCCCCACCCCCAAAGCAGTAAACCTAGGGGAAACACAGCAAGCCCCGCCTATACAGTCAAAGCGTTGAGGTAACAGGAGAACTTGTCAAACTAACCTTGCTGTATGTCCATCATCCTGTGAGCCCAGACAAACTCTATGATCCACAGCGGTCCTCTGGGGCAGGTCAGTGAACATGGACCTCTTCCTTCCATCAGTGAACATGGATCTCTTCCTTCCATCAGTGAACATGGACCTCTTCCTTCCATCAGTGAACATGGACCTCTTCCTTCCATCGGAGGCTCAGCGACAGAGCCTGCTCCTCTTTAACCCCTTCATGAATGGGCTGCTCCCGCCCCCCGAGCTGGACCTCAGGACATGTAGCGGCAAGTTTACGATGTGAAGTCATGGATGTATAATAAGAGTGTGAAGTTGTGAACGTCCCGGTTCTGGGACTGTTTGCAGATCGTTCCGTTTTTGAAAACATTACAAATTACTTCCTTGTCAAACTCACTGGCAGTCAAAATAAAGGTTCGTAAATAAACAGTTCTATACGATAAGGTTGTGATACAACATGTATACTTTTATTTTGAAGTTTGCTGTTCTGTTGCTGACCCGGAAGTAGTTAAACCGCGCTGTGAACATCTCTTTCCCTGCTTTCATCTTCAGCTCTGAATATGTGCTGCTTTTTTAGTCAGTATGGAAGCCTAACACTTTGTAAGGTAACGAATATGCAAGTATTCTAATGTGCAACTAATGTGCTCGGCTTGTATAATGAGTAGTGTGTCGCAAATACAGTAACTAACTAATATTTTAGCTTGTGTCTGGTTGTAGCGGTCAAAGGGGCGCGCATGATTAATAGCACCTGCGTACACCTTCGGCGGTGTTTGATGTGCTGCGAAGCTGAAGCGTTATCTGTAGAACGGAATAAACGTCAATCAACACACCACATACAGTGCTAAACCTTTGTGCTAAACCCCGTTGGTAGTAAACAGTCTGGCACTCCATTGTGTTTGTGTTTTATCTAAAAAGGCCTATACCATCTGTCAAATTTGAAATATGTTATATCTATATATTTTCACAACTTTGAGTAATTGCATCTATAATGAAAGTACAAAACGTTTAGGTGAAACCTCCATGAAACTACACCCTGGTTGAGGTTCGTCATACTGACATACTTATGCTCTGGACCTTTTTCAGGGTTTGTGCAAACCCTTTTGTTCTAAGTAAATGAAAGGATAATGCTACAGGATGCAATCATATTTAGCACATTAGTGTAATTGCAACTATCAACAGTTTGGAAATGTCCTCCTGTTTTAACAACACATTGACTTTGTCCACACGCCAGGCCATGGAGAAATGCTTTTCTAAGATTGTCATGAGATCATTCTGGAGGTATCACCCCAGCCCACCCATACTGCTGTGAGGCTGTTCTAACAGCAGATCAAGGCTTATTGTTAAGGAATAATGGGTTCTACATTCACTTATAGCTGTTTGATTTGTCTGCCCATATACTTAGGTATATTTGGTGTATCAAAGTTTGGTCCTGAATATAAACTCCTCTTGTCATCAAAACTCATAGATCTCATAAATGTCTTAATGACTCAACCAAATGATTAGTTATTGTTTTATTTGTTCCTCCAGCGCTGTATCACCCACCCTCCTTCATGTGAAACTTCATCCCAGCTGCAGCCTCTCCATGAACACCACATCATGTGTGTTTCTGCTCCAACTGTCCAGGAGGGGGTTCAGGCTTTGTGCGTCCAAAGCCCCCCGCTGCAGTTCCGGGGCCCCGAGGTTAACAACAATGACTTCCTCTTGGCCTCCACATATGTCCCCCCCCTCTCACGTCTCCTGCAGCCGCTCTCACTCCAGCAGCATCAAGGTGCGCCCCTATCTCCAGTACATGAAGCGCAAGATCATAGCCCCCCCTTGTCCTCCATACAGTCACGTGTGCCAGGTGGGGGACCCGGTGCTGCGTTCACATGCAGCGGCTGTGGACCCTGCAGCTGTAACCGGCGCTGAGGTCCAGCAGGTCATCAGGACTCTGGTGAAGGTGATGCGGAGACTGGAGTGTGTGGGGCTGAGCGCGCCTCAGATCGGTGTGCCCCTCCGCATCCTGGCCCTGGAGTACCCCGAGCAGATGTTGAAGGACAGTTCCCCCTCATCCAGGGAGGCCCGGGGTATCTCCGTCCAGCCGCTGAGGGTCTTTGTCAACCCCACGCTGAGGGTCCTGGATGGACGCACGGCGCTCTTTCAGGAGGCCTGTGAGAGCCTCTCAGGCTTCTCTGCCACCGTGCCTCGCTACCTGTCTGTGGAAGTCTCCGGTACGCATGTTTCACTGATCTGTGAAGTTAGATACTGTAGATCCGGGGGGGTCCAAACTTTTTTCACTGAGGGCCACTTACAGAAAAATAAACGAAGGGCTCTCAGTAAATATTTCTAAAGGTGCTATTGACATGAAATGTTCACCAGATGTTGGTAACAACCCATGCAATCCACACATACAAAGACATCAAAACAAATATGTTCATTTTAAGTTAGGTGTAATAAAATGGAATGACACAGGGAAAAAGCTTACTGAAATATATGTAATCCTTTGTTGTAATGGCAGCTTCAAGACGCCTCCTGTATGGAGAAACCCGTCTCACGCCTTGCTCAGGTGGGATTTTGGCCCATTCTTTCACACAAACAGTCTTCAAATGAAGGTTCCGTGGGCCTCTTCTATGAACTCTACTCTTTAGTTCTTTCCATAGATTTTCTATTGGATTCCAGTCAGGTGATTGGCTGGGCCGTTGTAGCAGCTTTACTTTTTTTCTCTGAAACCAAATGAGAGTTTCCATGGCTGTGTGTTTGAGATCATCGTCTTGCTGAAATGTCCACCCTCGCGCGGCTTCATCCTCCTGGTAGATCGCAGCAGATTTTTATCAAGAATCTGTTGGTACATTTTTCCATTCTCCGCCATATGCTGAAAAACAGCCCCCCACCATGATGTTCCCACCTCCAGACTTCTCCGTTGGTATGGTGCTTTTGGGGTGATGTGCAGTGCCAGTTGACCTCCAAACATGGTGTGTGTTATGGCATCCAAAGAGTTCAGTTTTGGACTCATCTGGCCAGACTGTATCTCACAGGCTCGTCTAAATGTTGAGCAGCAAACTTTAAACGAGCTTCAACATTCTTTCTCTTCATCCATGGAGTCTTGTGTGGTGAGCGTGCATTCAGGCCATGGCGGGTGGGTGCATTACTTATTGTTCTCTTTGAAACAATTGTACCTGCTAACTCCAGGTCTTTCTGAAGCTCTCCACAAGTGCTCCTTGGCTCTTGGACAACTCTTCTGATAATTAATTTCACTCCTCTGTCAGAAATCTTGCGAGGAGCACCTGGTTGTGGATGGTTTATGGTGAAATTATGTTCTTTCCACTTCCGGATTATGGCCCCAACAGTGCTCTCAGGAACATTCAGAAGTTCAGAAATCCTTCTGTAACCAATGCCATCAGTGTGTTTTGCAATAAGGTTGCGAAGGTCTTCAGAGCACTCTTTGCTTTTACCCACCATGAGAGGTTTCTTGTGTGACTCCTTGGTAATGAGACTTCTTTTTGTAGGCCATCAGTTGGGACTGAACCAGCTGATATTAATTTGCCTCTTCAAGGGACAGGATTGCTTTCTGATTACTGATAGATTTCAGCTGGTGTCTTGGCTTTCCATGCCTTCTTGCACCTCCCTTTCTTCATGTGTTCAATACTTTTTCCCTGTGTCATTCCATTTTATTACACGTAACTCAATTTATAGACATCTATGGTTTTATTTATTTGCATGGGTTGTTACCGACACCTGGGGGAAATGTCATGTCAATAGCACTTCAGAAATATATTCACTGAGAAAAATTGTGACGTGTTCAATACTTATATATGATAGTTTATTAATTATTGTTGTGTAAAGTAGTTAAACGTAACACCATTTTAGTTTTTTATAATCTTCCTAAAATAAAAAAGTATTAGCATCAATATATACTTAAAGTCCCAAAAGTAAACATTTTGTAGAATTGACAGCTATTAATAATCTAAATCTGCAATGCAACTAGTGACACATTGTTTAAAATGAATGTAGTGGAGATATACAGATAAATAAAGTGTTAATGCGGATGTTGAACTTCACTGCATTACTGAAGGGGAAAACATTCATTTTTCTTTAATTAGGGTACTGTAACATCAGAATGCTTGCTAATGCTTTCTTCCCCTCCCCCTGCAGGTCTGGATGAGAGAGGGGGGGCGGTGACGTGGCAGGCCAGCGGCTGGCCGGCTCGGATCCTCCAGCACGAGATGGACCACCTGGAGGGGGTCCTCTACATCGACCGCATGGACAGCAAGACCTTCATCAACATCCACTGGCAGGAACACAACGAGTAGAAGATCCTCAGGACACAAACACTGTGGAGCTGAAGACGTGCAATGATTTGATCTGATTCTCCATCATCTGTGTTGCTGTGTCTGCGCCATCTTTCATGTGAACAATGTCCTGACATACAGATGGTACAACTTGGATTCTGTTTGTGATTGGATTAAGAGCTCAAAGTCAATATCAATGACCTTAACCACTGTTTGTGTTGCTAGAAGCTGCCGGACAGAAACAGCAATGATCGTGCAGATTATCACTTTAGGAAGAGAGTCATGTTGTGTGGACCTCAGGTTCATTTGATGAATAAAGAGGCCAATATATTCGGAATAAAATGAGTGAATGTCGGCTCACATTGCAATGAATAAATAAAACAATTGGCAAAAAACGGATACAAAAAGAACAAAGGATATAAACCTTTTTTCTCTATGACTTCCTTTTGTCTAACTCTAATAAAAGTAGTTCTACTGGTTTTACATGAGAATATAAACTGGATGAATCCACATGAAAGGGACTGGGGACATGTCCTGGACATGAGCCGGAACAAGAAGTGCTTCTAATAGCTGAAGTGGATTTTCAAAGATTACTCTTGATGCGTAGACATTTAAAGAATAGAAGTATCATTGCGAGTCGGGGGGACATTTCTAAATGATATTGCAAGTGTAGGTAAAAGGAGTGTGAAACATCACGCATATTTGTGAAATGGTTCTGTAGTGGCCTTCACTTCTACATTGCCCCCCTCACATTTCTCAAACAACCATGTCAGAAAATCCTGTGGTTGTGGAAAGGAGGGCAATCGGTTTCAGGAGGGTCAAATGATTGGCCTGCATCAAGCAAAGAAAACAACTAAGGAGATTGCTGAAACTACTCAAATCAATCCATCCATCTGGTCCACCATGCCTAGTGCCTATTGTACAATCCTATGGGGGCAGTAATATGGTCTGGGGCAGCTGCAGTTGGCCAGGTCTAGGTTCAGCTACGTTATGTTCCCAAAGAATGAGGTCAGCTGACTACCTGAATATAGTGGCGAAGTCACGCCCATCTACTTCCGGTCCATGGGACCTTATTTCGGAAAAATAATGTATTGAAGTCAATGGAGTACAAGTTAAC